AGCCACACCACAGACTCAGTTATGGTCAGAAAAGGGAAGGCAGTATGTGATCTGCTGAGGTTTTAGCCAATCCATAAAATCCAAAACACTTTACAAACCGTAAATCATAGTCTTGTTATACTCACAACTGTATCCACTTGAAGGTGGATCCCAGGTCAGGTTGCCCCTTCCCACAGTAAACATAATAGTCTCATGGGAGGAGAAACTCATGGGAGGGGTGGTGGTGAAGCCCTTCAGCTTTGTGGTGATATCATCTAAAAGTTAACAATGTATATACTTTGTGCTCCAACTATTACCTTTTCTGATTCTATCCTAAGAGGAAAGAAAAAAATGCCAACATAACACACAAGAGCGTTTATTACAGGATAATACTTCATGGTTAAAATATGGTAGCAGACAGTTTTCATTTCCTGCAATAGGGAATGGCTGAAGAAAGCATGGAAACTATATACTATGGAATATTATGCAGTTATGAAAAAGAATAAGTTAGAGCTATATACATGAACCTGGAAGAATGTCCGCATAGATCAATAAGTCACAAAAAGTTGGTTGCAGCCTAGTGCATGTAATACTAGATGGCCAAACTTTATATCACCAGGGCTTGGTTTCTCCAGAAAGAGTACCATGATGACAATAATCATCTGTGAGTTTGAGGAGGGCTCATCAGTTTATCATAATGCAGAAGAAGTAGGAATCCTAAATTAGGCTGGTTTTCATCTAGCTGGGGAGATAGACTTAATAATATGTACATGCCCTGCCCACATTTATATTACCTTGGTAATCCTCATGCAGTAAAAATATCTTTTATCCTCCAGGGAAATCCCTTAAAGTAGGGTTCTAGTGGGATGTTATGTTGAGGGGTAAAATGAAAGAAAGCATTTTAGATATGCTTTTTCAAAGTATGCATCCCTAAGTTTTACCCAAGACCCACAGAATCTGAATTTCCAGAAGGTTGGAGACAAGAGATGAAGAGGAAGACCGGAACATGTAAAAGTGCCCCAGGTGATCTCACTACTGCTTTCCCCATTTTTAATTTTTTTTTTCATTTTGAGAGAGAAAGGAAAAGTGCGTGCACGCAAGTAGGGGAGGAGCAGAGGGAGAGGGAGAGGGAGGGAGAGAATCAGTCCTAAGCAGGCTCCACGCCCAGCACAGAGCTCGATTTCACAGCTGTGAGATCATGACCTGAGCCAAAATAAAAAATCAGAGAGCCACCCAGATGCCTCTCCTCCATTTTTGATGCAATTGCAAATAACTCTTTTAAAGTATAACAAGAGGCAGCCGTGCTGATGTTAGTAACAACAGCCTTTACAATATGTCAGATGGGAGGTCTTAATTATTTTTATCCCCATTTCACAGATGCAAATAGGCAGAAAGGTTAAGAATCATGCCCTGATTATAGTTAGTGTAGTGGTAGAGACAGGGGTTTAAAACCCAGGAGTTTACATGAAGAGATGTGAGTCACACGAAGTGAAACAGGGCAGACTCACGGGCTCAATAAAACCTTTCCAAGCCCAGGTTCCTCATTTATCTTGTCCGTTGGATGACATCTTACAAGTGACTCTGTTCCTCAGAGCTCACCACCTGCCATAGTCCTTGTCACAGAACTGCCCGTGCCCTTTGAATTGTTCAGTGCATCTGGACAAATGATTCTGAGAAAATACATTTTTACCATTTTTTTCCTCTCTTTCCTCCCTCAGTTCCTCCTCTGCCATGGAAACAGGTTCCTTTCATAAGCAGAAAACTGTACCGAATCTTCCATTAGAAGTCAGTGCCAAAATGGGCTGAAATCTCATTATGTCTAGTTCTTATTTACCATGTTCTTAACAGGTGTCACTTTCCAGACCTGCCTTTAAAATTAGCCTGTGAGTACTGGCTCGCCTCTGAAATCACTTGGTTAGGGGAGGAGGAGGCGGTGAAGGAGACAGGCATATAAATGTTCTTTTCTCTAAAGGCGGCTTGTTCTCAGCCTAAAATGTGGGAATTAAGTCTTTCTTACCTTCAAGAATGATTATGTTGTGTGAAGAAAAATGTCGTAAAAACTAAAGTCAGTTCTGTCACTTTTTAAGTGTGTATTCTGCCAAGTCACTTAACTTTCTGAGCCTCCATTTCATCATTTGTAAAGTAGGACCAATAATTGCTGGTCTGCTTACTTCAGAAGGTTGTTGTGTTAATCCATATAAGAACCCAGATCTTCTGGCTTCATGTGCATTGGTGGTCCATCCATGCATCCATCCCTCCCTCCATGCATCACCTTTTCATTTCTTCATTCATTCATTCAGTATCTATTATACCTTATGATAGTTAACTGAGAATATATGTTAGGAGGCTGGGGGAAGAAAAGGAGAGATGAACCCCAGATTTGGAAAGAGCACTGAAGGCAGAGGCAATGAGGTGATTAAGAACATAGAGTGAGCAAGGACCTACAGCAGCCCATAATCCCACATTCTAATATTTTTCATGCTATTCCAGTTCCTCTGAAAGCAACCACTACATGTTGCACAAAAAGAATTAATTTTCAAGATTTTCTTAAGACAGAGCCACCTTTATTTTATCCAGGCAGGACTCTTGTTGACATCTTCTATCTCACCTTTTCTCTAGGTCCCTCCATTAAGTACAGTAACTAGTGAGCATAAGTGGACAAGGCTTATAAATCAGGCCGGCTCCTCAGCTCTGGTCATAGGAAGAGGTATCTGTGGGGTGCTTTAAATCTGACATATGCCTGATATAAAGATAAACCTTAGGTATTACATAATGTATATAAAGTATAGATTCTATATGATCCAGAAAAACATTTTAAAGGTAATTAATGGTGTATATCTCCATATAAGGGACATTCATTAATAAAAGTCCTTTTCCCATCCAGATGGCCAACAGACACATGAAACGATGCTCAGCATCCCTCCTCATCAGGGAAATACAAATCAAAATCACACTGAGATACCACCTCACGCCAGTCAGAGTGGCTAAAATGAGCAAATCAGAGAACTCTAGATGCTGGTGAGGATGTGGAGAAAGGGGCACCCTCCTACACGGTTGGTGGGAATGCAAACTGGTGCAGCCCCTCTGGAAAACAGTGTGGAGTTTCCTCAAGAAACTAACAATAGAACTCCCCTATGACCCAGCAATAGCACTGCTAGGAATTTACCCAAGGGATATAGAAATGCTGAGGCATAGGAGCACATGTACCCCGATGTTCATAGCAGCACTCTCCACAATAGCCAAAACATGGAAAAAGCCTAAGTGTCCATCAATGGACGAATGGATCAAGAAGATGTGATTTATCTATACCATGGAATACTACATGGCAATGAGAAAGAATGAAATCTGGCCATGTGTAGCAACATGGATGGACCTTGAGGGTGTTATGCTGAGCGAAATAAGTCAGGCAGAGAAGGACAAATATCATATGTTTGCACGTATAGGAGGATTAGGAGGAACTTGACGGAGGAACAAGGGGGAGAAGAAGGGCGGAAATGGTGGGGGAAAGGGAGAGAGGCAAACCAGGAGAGACTCTTGAATGCTGACAAAAACTGAGGACTGATGGATGAGGGGGGGGAGGGGGGATGGGCATGGAGGAGGACACTTGTGGGGATGAGCACTGAGTGTTATGTGGAAACTAATTTGACAATAAACTATTTGAAAAAAAAAAAAATAAAAGTCCTTTTCCGTGTATTGTTAGATTTATCTTTGATGTACCTTGAAAAAGTAAAATAAGAGTAAGAAACATGAGATGCCTCAGTGCCTCAGTCAATTGAGTCGTGGACTCTTGATTTCAGTTTACCTCATGATCCCAGGGTCATGGGATTGAGCCCCGCTTTGGACTCTGCACTGAGCATAGAGACTGCTTAAGATTCTCTCTCTCTCCCTCTGCCCCTCACCTGCTCCTTTGCATGCATGTGCACTCTCTCTCTCAAAAAATAAATTAATTAATTAATTAAATAAAATAAAATATTAAAAAAGAGAATAGAAAACATTACTTCACTGTCCCTATTTTATAAATAAAGTAATACAGACTGGAAGCAACATGTGGCAGATTACACAGTAAAATTAGCAGATGAGCAAGAATTAGATTTGAGGTTTCTTGGATTCCAGACAGAGTTGATTTCTCCATTTCAGGTGATTACTGAACACAATGGGTTTTCAAATGATGGAGGACTTCTCTTCTGACAATACTGAATAATTCTAGAAATAACTCATTCTTTCACAAATTTCACAAATCCTTAACACGGGAAAGGAGTGGAAAGTGTCTGGAGATGGGGCTGGGGCAGGAGGCCAGAACCTCTGTTGCCCTGAAAGCCAAGTTCAAGGTTAGGCCTTTATCCTGAGGGCAGTGGCAAATCACAGAAAGGTTTTACGCAGGGGGAATGTCCTGACCATTTAGTACCAATCACTGTAGGCCTCAGTGGGCCTGAAGGGAAGAGGCAAATCTTGGATCAGAAGTCCAGTCGGAATTATGGCGATTAAAAAAAAAAAAAGTGTGAGAGAATGGTGGTGGCAGTTGTAAGAAGCAAAATGAACAGATCATATCAAGACGTGAGAATCAAGGTGTCATTCTTCCCCCAAATCCCACTGTTTCTTGGATTTCTCCTTCTAGAATGACTGCACATGTATTTCCAGTAGGAAAATCGTCCCTGCTCCTTCGCCAGCCTTCCGCAGCTCTGGGCCCCAGCGACAGGAATGATAGTGGACTCAGAAGGCGTGGGTCCCCTGGCTGTCTATCACAACCACCAATTGCCCGGACACCCGGATTCCAGAGTCCCTGGGCCAGCTGAGGCCATTTGCAACACTTCGGGTCTTCGCCAGCATCCTGCTGTCCCTGCTAACGAGTTTCTGCTTGTCTCCTCACACTAGGCCTTGGAGCATGAGATGAGCGCCAGCCTACGTGATAAGGCCCCACAAATGTGCGCTCAGCAAACACTGGGCAGGGCGGGAAACTGCGACAGCGAGTCTGGCCACGTAGCCCTCTTCTGAGGCCCCGCCTCCGCAGCCTTATTGGCCTACGCTCCTGCCACTCAGCCAAACGCCCGCCCCCAGGGTCGCAGGAAGGCGGGATCCCAAGTCTCCTCCCCGCGTTGGTGCGTCCTGGCTCGCCCTTCCAGGTGCTTCTCTGAACTTGCGGTAGTGGTCCCGACCCCTGCAAACTTTTCGCCGCCTGCAGCCGACTGGTGTGAAAACTCTCCCTTTGGATTCTCACCCGTGAGACGGACACGGCAGCTTTACAGGCAAGAAAAGTAAGGGTCACAGAGCTTGAGTGACTCTCCACAAAACCACGTGCTGGGATTTTAATAATGGTCCCAGACCCGTGTTTTCTCCTAAGTAACGTCTGCTCAGTGGTTAACTGTTCAGAACTTATTTCCTCCTCTGCGAAATGGGGAAACTAATAGCCACCTTGTGAAGCTGGTGTGGAGAATACAGAAAAGAGCAGGAGAAGAATCTGGTGCAAGGACTGGCCTGTGGTAGGTTGTTCGTGAACAGTATGTGTCTAAGCCTCAAAAATTCCCAGGTCTTCCGACTTCCAGTCTGAGACTTTTTTTGTGCTAAACCAGTTCCAGAGGTCCAGAGAACTCAGAGGGTTCAGGGATATATTCAAGGGGTTCGTTTCTCACATGGGAGAGACACCAAAGGAAAACACACTACTCTGAGGCAAATGCCAAACATTGTTTTTACCACTATTTAATTAGAATTAATTTTTTGTCTTTGCCAGGCACTGTTCTAAACCCTGTATGTTTCCTCTTCACAATGACCTGTGAATTACATCCTGTTAAAACTCTCACTTTACAGAGGGCAAACTGAGGCACAGAGAGAGGTTAAATAACATTCATCTTTAAAAAGCTGAAAGTTGTCAGAGCTGAGATTTATAGCCAACCAGTCTGGCCCATAAAGCCACACATGCTAATATTTGTGCTTTACACTATGCATGACAAAATGGGGTTGTGACAAGAGCTGTCTTTGAGAATAAATACTTTTGTCACCATCTACAAGATGCCTCTGACTTTTTTAAATATCCTAAAGGGCCAGAGGAAGAAAAACCAAAATGGAGAGAGGCACCTAACTAAGCCCTTGACTGCGGACAGACTATATATGGTCTGATTATTAGAAACTCACATGCAGGTGCTATGTTTGGAATTCCATTTTAGCTGAATGCTTCGGACTGTCGCATCTCTCAGTGTCTCCGGGGAAGTGCCCACTATGGAAGAATGGCTGAAAGACACGATTGGAATGGAATGTAGCCGTCCTCTTATCTGACCACACAGATACCTGCCAGGCGAGGAATGCCTCACATCTTCATGATAATTTTGAAGACTTTCTGAGAAGGTGATAATATTATCCAATTACCTCACGATCATAAGGTTTACTGCAGTGACTGCAGACCCTGTGTGCCTCATTCAGCAGGTATCACAGAACAAGGAAAAAGGTTGCGAGGGAGCTGGGACCTGGTAGCTGGGAGGACACCAAAGACTCAAACTGAAGGTTAAATCCTGTGAGGTAGGAGCAGGGATTGTCGAGAGGACAAAAGTGAATAATACCAACAGGGGAGAGCTGCAAACAGTTCTCCCTGGGATCCAGGTCAGAGTTCGTCCTAAAGTGACATTGGCCTCTATAGCTGTGGTAGCCTTGAACTATACAATACCCTTCCATACACAGCTTCTGTTTATCCAGAACAGTCTTTTGACTCTTGCCCCATAAAAATACCTAAGGTCTCGGGCTCTATCCCTCTCTCCTGGCTTCTTTTCCTCCACCTTTCCTGGTAAACCCAGGAAATATGGAGCGAGAAGAGGGAGCTGAGTGGAGGCTACATTTTGGACAATGTTAGATGACGTTTGAACCTGACCGGTAGCAAAAGGAAGATCCTTAGAGGGTCCTGTATTCTCATCCCCTTTTCTGTCCAGATCTTTGCTGGGGGCAAAAGTCACCCGTCTCTGGGGCTGGGAAATAGCAGACAGGTTATATAGACAACATCAGACATGTAGGGGTGGCGCTGGGGGTTGGGTCTCAAGTGCGCTGTCAACATCCTGAGATGATATTCTGAGTGACCAGAGAAAATTCAGTCTCTGTTAAAGAGGGAAATGTAGGGCAATCCTGGTAGAGAAATACTGGTTATGAGATTTTAGCAGTGTAATTACAGCACAGACCGATGAGGCAAGAGGCTGTGAGCTAATGACACCATCTGCTTGGAAAGTGGAGTAAAGGGTGGCATGAGCAATAAAGTCTTATGAGACTGTGGATTAGATAGCTCAGAGGACAGCTCAGGCCTGTGGCTGTTGGACACATGGGACAGGAGCAGGGCAGTGGAGTTAAAAGCCCAGGGACAAGGAGTCAAACAGTATGGCTCCTATTCCAGAAATGAAGGGCTTCACCGAACCACCATCCTCCAAGCTCCTCCATCCCTACCAACTGGTGATTTTCTTCATGATATGAGTAATGTCTACTGTGTTGCTGAGTATTCATTCAAAGAACATACATTTACTTTTTCCTGGGCTTTTGTTGTACATCTACTTGATTTTGTGGACATGTACTTTGTGCTGGGCTTTTACTAATTAGCTATTCATAAGTGATCCTAAAAAATATTATTTCTGCACAGCATTCCGAGCATTTATGATCTTAGAAAGAGAAACTGTAAGAAGCAGTGGGCTAGCAGACCCTTCTGAATAGCTTGGAAGGCATAAGCCAGGGAGACGCAGGCAGAAATAAGGAAAACAGTTCTTTCATTAGGAAGGTAGAACATTTAAATATAGACACTGATGTTCACCATGGCACCACCATTAGCAAGTGGATTTTCTTTTTTTTCTTTTCTTTAGCAAGTGGATTTTCTAAGTACTAGGTTAACACATGTGAAGTGCTGATACTTAATTGTTTTTTTTTTTATGTTTATTTATTTTTGAGAGGAGAGGAGGGGCAGAGAGAGAGGGAGACACAGAATCTGAAGCAGGCTCTAGGCTCTGAGCTGTTAGCACAGAGCTCAGTGCAGGACTCAAACTCACGAACCGCGCAATCATGACCTGAGTTGAAGTCAGATGCTTAACCGACTGAGCCACCTAGGCGGTCCCTCAATCATTTTTGATGCACAACAATGGTAACTTTATGTGGCTAAATCTTCCAGAATCTCAAATACACTAGGGGATGCTTAGCTTAGTTGATTGAAGGAAAAAGACTGAGGAACTTTGGGGGTCTAGATCTCTGTAGAGTGAGTATTCCTAATTGTAAACAATGCATTAAAAATAGTCTTGCAGGATATCTCATTAAAAACACTAGTTTTATTCATTTACTCATTCACTGTAACAATAGTAAAAATCATTGAGCTTCTCCTATGTCTCAGTCACTGTGCTAGAGACAGAATAAAATGATGGTCCCTGTCCTGGAGACCACACAGAATAGGAGTAAAGGTGTGAGGATGGAATGGACAGTGTTATGGGAAGGGGCCCTGGGAGAACAGGAGAGCAGCACAGAGAAGGAGTTATGAGGGAAAGAGAGGAGGGAATGAAGGAGGGAATGAGGGTATGATCTTATTAAAAGGTTTTGATATAAGAGAGAAGAATTATAATTAACCAAATGGTCAAGACAGGAAAGAACATTCCACACAGAAAAGGGCAGAGATAACCACATGATTTAAAGAAACAATTTGTGTTAACAGTGAATATGAATTTATTAAATCTACAAAAAGACATTTCTCAAAGGCCTTTAAGCCAGGTGTCTTGTCGTATTCATGTTCGTAGACCCTGTGTTGAGTCTAGGACAGTGCCTAGCACATAGTAGGTGCTCAGTAGATGTTGAGTTAAACTCATATGGAAGAATAAGCTTGAAGTTGAAATTTACCACATATTTAAAGGAAAGTTTCTTCTCCCCTATTCCCCTTAGTCCAAATTCATGAAGTTTCCATGTGTTCCTTGAAATCTTCTGTAAGAAAACATGCACTTCAGCTTATCTCTGAAAAGAGTAGTTGTGTAACCTTTTAATGTGTGCATATAAGTAGATATCAGAAGTATGTCTTGCCTTAGGGACATTTTCAGTTCCTTATTTGGAATATTTACTGTATACTGTCTACAGGCTAGGCAATATGCCAGGCCCGGGAACATAGTGGTGAATAGGATAAATATAGCCCCTGCATTCAAGGAGTTAAATGTTTTGTAGATAAAGCAGTTATTAAACAAATAATTAAACAAATATTTTCTAATTATAATTTGTGTTAATAAAATGGAAAACAACATACAGATGCCATGGGAATCTATAACAGGGTACAGAGCCTAGTCTGATAACAATTAGAAAGGTGCTCAATCAGAGTGTCTTTAAGGAATACACATTTAAGCTAGAATAAATGGAGAGGAAGTAAGAGTGTTCTAAGCAGAGGAAACAGCATATGTGAGGACCATGAAGAAAGGGAAGCTGGCCTTCTAACAGAAGGGATTATGTGACTGTGACTGTGTGTTGATAAAACCATCTCGTATGATCCTTATAAAGTATAATTGATTTATCCGTCATTTTAACTCAGAAGAACGTAGCACATGAGAAGGAAACCCACTTTATTCATTTATTCCAGCACGTACTAAATCATTGCTATGTGCCTGACACTTTGCTGGGCACTGGAAATTAAAGAGAGAGAAACCTCATGAACCTCTAGAAGTTTATGGCTTTATGGGGAAACAGGTGAACCAACATACCATTATAATACAGTGTGGTTGTTTCTTTGCTTTAGGTAAAACACGCAGTGCATAGGAGCAATATGGTCATGTTTGCCTGGGAGAATCAGGGATGGCTCTCAGATGAACTATCTGAGATCTGAAGGATGAGGCCATTCCAGAGAGTAAAAGCAGCATATGAGAAAAGAGCATGATGTAGCCAGGAAAGAACAATGAGTCATTGGGAATGACAAGGGAATGGGAAGAGAGGTGAAGTTAGAGTTAGAAGGGTGGGTAGAAATTAGATCTTGAAGCATCTCAGAAAGTTTTTATTTTATTCTATTGCCAATGAGGAGACTACACGGGAGAATAGGAGAGAGAGAGAGGAATCTAGACCAACTGCAAGGCTTACAACTCAAGAAACTGAGTGATAAGAGGCATTCAGAGTGACCAGGACCATGCCTTACTTATTTTTCAGACTTCAGCACCAAAAGAGGTGATATGTGCATAAGACCTTGAGGTTCTTGATCACCAAATTGCTGGTATTCTTAGGACTTTATATTCTTACGGCCAAAGAAAAGTCTCTGCAAAGATAAAAAAATAAAATAAATAAATAAATCTCAAGAAAAAGAAATTATTTATCAAGTCCCAGCCTCTCCCAAACGTCTCCTCCTTTCTGACTCCCCCCAGTTGTATAGCTGAAGCAATATTAGCTGCCATGCATTATGTCATTACCATCAATAGGCAAATAACTGCATAGCCACCAGAGGGCAATGAAAATGGCCATAAAGGCACAGAGTAGTAATTATTTTTGCATTAGCACCAGCCACACTAATATCAACATAGAACAGTTACCATCCCTACCCTCATAGTTATGCTATAACCCCCACATGTCTTACAGGAGTAGATTGATGAATGGTACGGGAGGAATAAGCAACAATAGAGCAGTCGTGCGAGACCCCTGCATCCTGACTATGTCTGTGGGCCATCAGCCATGACGTTGGTGGAAAGCCAGTGGGAAAACTCAGTTTTGATTATCACTGATCTAGCCACTCCCCAGGCAGAAACCATAATTCAACTTCCCTTTCTTTGGGCCCCCAGGAAGTGAGTATTTGAGTGGGAGCAAAGCTACAGCAGTAATAACACAGCAGGCAGCCTCCTTTGCATTTATATCTTGTTATTCTTCCTATCACTAGGCAACCATTCTTTGTGCGTAAAACTACACATCTTTCTACATTGTAACAACTTATTCTTTGAAGTAAGCACTCTGGTGTACAGTGTTTTTAGGGGATATCCATTCCATTTATTTGTTAGGTCAACCACAGTGAAAAACCAAGCGGCTTGGAACCTCCAGCCTGATTTAGGAGCTTCTCTGTGTTCTCCTAGCCTCATATTAGAGCATGGATCATAAATTTCATTTATAATTGCATATTTGCTTGTCCATTTCTCCCTCCAGAATGAGTTCCTGGAGGGCAAGTACTACATCCAACCAATGCTTGTAGCCACATCCAGCATCTAGCACAGTACCTGGCTACTTGAACAATACTCCATAACCATTGGGCGGATGGATAGATGGATGGTTGGATGGATGGATGGATCGATGGATGGATGGATGGATGGATGGATGGATGGATGGATGGATGGAGATGAATGAATGTTTTCCCTGAAATTCAAGTTTGGTGGTCAAAAGTGTCATTATTT